CAAAAAGATATGACGCCGGAAGATGAGCCCCTCAGGTCAGAAGGTGTCCAGTGTGCTACTGGGGAGGAGCGGAGGGCTAGTACTAGTAGCGCCAGAAAGAATGAAGTGACTGGGTCAAAGGCGAAAGGACGCTCAGTTGCTGATGTATCTGGTGGTGAAAGGAGAGTCCGATGCTGCAAAGATCCATACTCCATAGGAACCTGGAATGTAAGATCCATGAATCAAGGCAAGCTGGACGTGGTCAAACAAGAGATGACAAGACTGAACATCGACATCTTAGGAATCAATGAACTAAAATGGACAGGAATGGGTGGATTTAATTCAGATGACCATCAGGTATACTACTGCGGACAGGAATCCCTCAGAAGAAATGGAGTAGCCTTCATAGTCAATAAAAGAGTAGGAAAAGCAGTACTGGGATACAATCTCCAAAATGACAGAATGATCACAGTACGAATCCAAGGCAAACCATTCAACATCAGAATAGTCCAAGTCTATTCAGCACCAAGCCGCAACCACTGGTGCTGAAGAAGCTGAAGTCGACCAGTTCTGTGAAGGCCTACAACACCTTCTAGAATTAACTCGAAAAAATGATGTCCTTATCATCATGGGGGACTGGAATGCTAAAGTAGGAAGCCAAAAGATAACCCAAATAACAGGCAACTTTGGCCTTAGAGTACAAAATGAATCAGGGAACAGGCTGGTAGAATTTTGTCAAGAGAAAATGATGGTCATAGCAAACACTCTTTTCCAACAACCCAAGAGACGACTCTACACGTGGACATCACCAGACGGTCAACACAGAAATCAGATTGACTATGTGCTCTGCAGCCAAAGATGGAGAAGCTCTATACAGTCAGTAAAAACTAGACCAGGAGCTGACTGTGGCTCAGATCATGAGCTTCTGGTTGCAAAATTTAGGCTTAAGTTGAAGAAAGTAGGGAAAAGCACTAGGCCACTCAGGTATGACCTAAATCATATCCCTGATGAATATACAGTAGAGGTAACAAATAGATTTAAGGAATTAGATCTGATAGAGTGCCTGAAGAACTATGGACGGAGGTGCGCAACATTGTACAAGAGGCAGCAACTAAAACCATCCCAAAGAAAAAGAAATGCAAGAAAGCAAAATGGCTGTCTGAGGAGGCTTTACAAATAGCTGAGGAAAGAAGGGAAGCGAAAGGCAAGGGGGAAAGAGAAGGATACAAACAATTGAATGCAGAATTCCAGAGAACAGCTAGAAGAGATAAGAATGCCTTCTTAAATGAACAGTGCAAAGAAATAGAAGAAAACAACAGAATAGGAAGGACAGAGATCTCTTCAAGAAAATTGGAGATACTGTGGAGATAAATTGGAGATACTTCAGATGAAGCTCAAATACTTTGGCCACTTAATGAGAAGGAAGGACTCCCTGGAGAAGAGTTTAATGCTGGGAACAATAGATGGCAAAAGAAGAAGGGGACAGCAGAGGATGAGGTGGCTAGATGGAGTCACTGAGGCAGTTGGTGTGAGCTTAAGTGGACTCTGGGAGATGGTGAAGGACAGGAAGGCCTGGAGGAATGTTGTCCATGGGGTCGTGATGGGTCGAACACGACTTCGGGACTAACAACAACAACCACAAAAGCTTTAGAGATAACCTGGACAACGTCTGGGCCTCTCTTGCAAAGCACTAAGGTAATATGCAGTGGTACTCAACAGATTTCATATTACAATCTTAAGTTACCCTGTCATATAGAACCCAGATCCTCTTGTATGGTAACTAGGAGACTTCAAAATATTTTACAACTGTAATCAAGATAAGCTATTAAAAAGGGTGGGAGTATACAGAGGAGACAGAAGTCATAATATTCTAACAATGGCATTCTGAATATTTGAAGAGAAGGGGAAGGAGGTTGATGAAGCTACAAATGGAATGCAATTATAATCCTGCTCTTTCCCCTATTTTATTTTGCTACTCTCCGTTGCTTTAATATATGTTCTTTTCACTGCCTGCAAATGGGGTGGGGGGGGGGAGTTGCATAATGGAATGGGTGCATCATGATGACGCTGAGAAATATTTATTCATTTAAAACTTTTGTATGCTGTCCCTTATGCATAGCATCTCAGGATGGCTTACAATCATTAAAACAACACAATAAAATGGCAATAAATAACAACCCAAAAATATACTTAAATAAGTGAGATAAAATCGTCTGTTAAACATTAAAATTTTAAATTAGTTTTTAAAATAGTTAAATAAAAAGGTTTTAACCTGGTGCCGAAAATAATATAAACTTAGTGCCAGGCACGCCTCTCCAGGGAGTGCATTCCGTAATCTGGGCACCACCACAGAGAAGGCCATCCTCTGAGTAGACATCCTTTTTACCTCCTTCAGGGAGGGTTCTTGGAGCAGGGCCTCTCATGCAGATCTTAAGGAGTGTGAGGGCATATAAGGAAGGAGACATTCCTTCTGGTATCCTGGTCCCAAGCCATTCAGGGCTTTATAGGTCTAAACCAGCACCTTGAATTGGGCCCAGACTTCAAATGAAAGCCAGTGGAGCTGATAGAGGACTAATGTTATAAGAAATAACGACCAGTCCTTGTTAGCAACCTGGCGGCTCTATTCTGTACCAGCTGAAGTATCCAGACCATTTTCAAGGGCAGCCCCACATAAGAGTGTGTTACAGTAATCCAACCAGGAGGTTACCAGAGCGTGAAACCTTGATCCGCCCACCAACAGGACTTCCGTCTTATCTGGATTGAGGCTCAGTTTATTGGCCCTCATCCAGCCCCTTTCCTCAGCCAGGCACCAGTTCAGTGCCTGAACAGAAGTTTTAATAAGGCTTTGTGTAATGGGACGACATCGAGGGAGGAGGTGGCAGCAGCACAGATTGCATTATGGTTCCAGTTGCAATAATAGTTAAGCTGCAATATATTAAGGGTGGTGAGTTAGTATGATGAACTTGAGAAGCAGGGTTTGCAAACCTGTATTCCTACAGTATTTGACATTTACCCCCTAATGCTCTTCAGATGCTTATACACCTAAAACCAAACTTTCCCTGTTGTGTCCCTAATTTAGCCCTTTCCATTTTGAGGTAAGCAAGGCCAAAGTGACCTTTTGACTATCATGACTGAATGGAATTAAAACAGTTCATGGCTGGCACTGTACAGCAGAGGTAGGCAGCCTTGTTAGGCCATGGACATGGACAAATTTGGCAATTTGAGGAATTGCCCTGGGTACCATCACAAAATGGCTGTCATGGGAAGTGTAGCAAAGAACAAGGAACCTGCTCAAAAGACTAAGTTAAAGGCGGAGGTAGGATCTGATCCCTGATGCTCTAAACAACTCCTTTAAACCCAGAATTTTCAAGACTAACATGGTAGTCAGCAATCACCACTGCCAATATTTTTTTTAAGTGTTTAGTGTAGGGCACCTTGATAGATACCAGAAAAGCTGTCCCAAGATCATATTGGTGCCCCCAACTGCCACATTGTCTGCTGGTGCTCTATGCATTAACCCACACTGGATAAATAATCTAATAGTGGTGGTATCTCCCATTACAGGCACATTGTTTTTTTAAAATCAATATGCATTTGTTTCCTGTTCATCACAGATTGACTAGGCAGTTATGTTATGGTAATACTGCATCAGGGTGCCAAATAACAATGCATTTTATGTTAAGGGAAAAGCCATTACCCAATTAAGTCACAACATTTGTAACTGCAGTTTGGCTTTTAGCACACATGTGTCACTGGTTCTTTGTGGGTGTGAGCTGTGAACCAGCTTTTCTTCTCTTCTCAACCACATTTTGAGAATTGCTCAGACATGCAGCACTACTGAGTAGTATTTTTAAAGTTGTTTTGAGGTCATAAATTTCACGATTCCATCATCCAAACCACCCAATGGTATGATAGATGCTCTGACTCCCACTGTCTAAGGTTTGCTTCAATGTACTTCTGTAGTTTCATATCTTAGAGTAGAAAGGATGGATTTCCTCTGCCGTCTTTCACCCAATTCCATGTTGCTTAGTTCTTTAGTGCATATCACAGAAAAGACACTTAGTTCATCAACCCACCTCTGCTGTCATAAGAAAGAGAATCTCAAACATCATGCTACCAAAGTCAATAACTCATTTATTATACTGTGACAGTATTACATACTCTCAGAAACTTAACTTTAACATAGATGTGTAATAGAATGGATAAAATGAATAGTGTGGAATGAATAAAATATGTTTGTGAGTAGCTTTGAGTGACTGCAGGTATGGTCTCCATATTGAAAAAGGAAGCTTTGGAGCATGCATGTGTGTTTGTGTGTGTGTTTAAAGACAACTGTCTCTGAGAAAGCATTAATTTAGAATTATGTTCCAAGATAAGTCAGGAACTGATGCTACCATTAAAATTTTCATGAATGTTTTCAGTTAAGTCTTTCTATATTTCAAGAGGCTACGATCCATATACCGTGTGTGATCTTTTACAGGTGTCTTCTACAAAAACATACAAGCAGTAGTACTAGATCAGAGCTAAGATTCACCTAGTGTAAGTTTTTATTGCCAACAAATAAGTTCGATGCTGCTGAGAAGCTGACAGGTTGGCAGCTGTCTCCTGCACCCAGGCACAAGGAACTGAAAAGAACTGAAAGATGTAGGATCTGCTCACCGACTTCCTCCAGCTGACTTATGAACTGTCTTATTTAGATTGGTAAAGTATGCAGTCATTGTACAATACCATCCTCAGTTAAGCATCCATGTCCTATAGGCATGATGAGAGAAAACTGTTCTGTATACAGCAATATGATTTTCTTGATCACTGTTGGATGGAACTAGTGCAAGCAATGAGAAAGGCTAGCCTCTTCCTAGGATGTGCTAAAATCCTGTTTTGATAGCCATTTATAATAAAAAGTGTATATCTTTTTCATGCATCTGAATGGCACTCTATATAGATTTAACATTGTTCAGAATCAGCAGATAGCTAATGCCAGTAGCTGAACCATGTATCACTCCTCCCTGCCCACCCCTCAGCAGGTAATCTGTTAGCGCAGAGTCCCATGTTGGATCTGGACAATGAAGTGCGTCCATCTTCTCTTGGCCATCTCAGTCGAAGTGCTTCACTGAAAAGAGGCAGCAGCAATCAATCCAGTCGTGATGAAAGTAGGTGCTAGGACTTTATCTCTTCTCTTGCTTTTTATGAAACAATGCTGTGATTTCATGTAGCCCCTCTCCTTTGCTAATATAATCCACTGGGTTGGATACTGAGCTATGAATCGGATCCCAGCACTGCAGTGGGCAGGTTTAGCCCATCTCAAATGTCTGGGACTACAATTTCCAGCATTCCTGACCATTGGCTATGCTTGCTGAAGCTGTCAGTAGCTGAAATCCAGAAACTTGATGAGCACCAACTTGGGGAAGGTTGATATAGGTGCTCTATGCTGTTTCATCCTCAGTCTTCCAGTGTAAGAATTAAAGTACTCTATAAGAATCTATTGAATGGTTGGAATGCTTTGAAGAACTGTTATTCCCTCTCTCTTCTATCACCACTTCCATTAGCAGACTGTCATTGGACCTTAAGTTTTAAGAGGAGCTAATAAAATTAATCTTCTAGCATGCTGAATCATACTAGTTCATACTCAATTCCAACTCCTTTCTTGATATGAATTTGTGACACAAACAGACCATAAAGGACAAGGCCACATGTTCAATATTATCTAACGTATATATTGATTTTGTGTAATTATGAATAACCTTTTAATCAGCCAGTAAAATTACTCCCTTTTGCAGCAGTTAACAGCTGGCTTTTTCTTTTATTTTAGGTTGGCGATTTAAAGCTCCTCAGCAAGTGGCATTTGTTGAAAAGTTAACAAAGCTTGTTGTAAGCCAGCTCCCAAACTTCTGGAAACTCTGGATTTCTTATGTGAATGGGAGCCTCTTTAGTGAGGTATGTCCTTCTGCAGTCTGCCTTTCCAGTACTGTCAGCTTTATTCAATCTTAGGAGGAACGTAAAACAAAGTCCCATTACTCTTTTTTCCCTTCTGATTCTATATCAAACATACTTGGTTTTTCTATATCTCCTTTACCCACCAAGTAGTGAAAAGCCAGTGTGGAAATTCTTGGTAAATCTAGAAATTTCCCTTTTGCCTTTCTTAAGAGTCAGTGTGCTGTAGGAGTCAGAAAGTTGGACTAGGACTTGGAGAGATTTCACATTCAGATTTCCATTTAGTTATGCAGCTTACCAGGTAGCCTTGAGCCAACTAGGATCCTTTAGCCTAATCAGAATTGTTAGAAAGTAATGGGCAGGGAAGAACCATCTGTATTGTCTTGAACCCTTTGCAGGAAAGGCCGAATATACCAAATGTTGCCTTTACAGATGGCTTCTTCTGCCAGGCCTGGGTTGGCGGTGCTGAGCAGCTGTCTCAGATCCAGTAGCTTGGGAGCTGCTGCCCCAAATGCCATTCAGTTGCAGAAGTGTAGCTGCCTTTTCCATGAGGGTGGCAGTGGGGAGACAGGCAGACACTCCCTGCATCGGCTTTTTCCCACCAGCCACACGTCTGCCGGAGCTATGGGAGGTGCTTCTAGTAGCCTTGGCTTTTTCTGGCCAATGAGGAAGATCTACTATGCCTGTGAAGGGGCCTGAGGCATCTTACCAGGGACACCCCAAAACATGGGTCAAGCCTGTATTGATAGATTAAGAGGAAGGTGCCCATTTTTTTTCTCCAGTTCCTTGGAGTCTGGACTTTCAGCTGCCCTGACATTCAACATCCAGAACCATCCAAATGCCTTATCCACACTTTAGAGTGGTAATGGTGAAAGAACTACATTCCAGATTTGCATTACATCCCACTTTCCTCTTAATTTTTACAACTGTACCTTATTTTCTGTCATTTTGGAACCAAAAGGATGGTTGAACACTGACTGACATGGAGCCAAAATGAGCCACTGAAGCATAAATCTGTCATGAAAGTGGTGAGAAACAATTGAAGGGAAAAGAGCAGTAATAAACTGCCTGGTTTATTTTCTCTAGTCATAAGGATACTACACATGCCTTAAACTTCGGTTAAAGTTTGCCAAGATTTTTCAACAGACTTAGAAAGTATGTAGCTAAACTGAGACCTAGTTCTGTGTGCAGTGAATCTGCAAGATCTAACCGTTGGACTTACCACAATTGTCTGCACAGGAAGGGGTTAACCTATTCAGCAAAATTAGCAAAGAGGTGAAAAATCTCTACTTTCAATACCCTTCCTTGCATTCATAAAATATATCAGGTTGACAAGAATCAAAGATTATCAAAACTGACCCCTTTTAAAAGATAGATGCTTCCACTGAGCAGTCCCACTTCACTGATCAGTTTACCCCAAGATCTAATTTATGTATTACAATCAGAAAGTAAGCAAAACTAAGTTAAACAGAATACTTGAAATATTCAAGGTGTGCAGATAGGATGAGTTAAACCAACTTCATTTAGCAAAATGTTTTAATGGGACAGTATGTGTTTCAGTTCATTAGTTGGCAGTGTCTGATGACAACTTTGGAAAATGGGACAGATGGCTATATAGTAAAAAGTGTTTTAAGCTTACTTTGAATTGTGTATTCTTGAATATGATATAGGAAATGTGAACTGTGCTATGGCTATTTCAGTGTCGTCATTAAACAGTATCCTAAAATGTTAGACCACAAATTCATGTGTTTTTTTTAAGTTGAAAGAAAAAGAAAGAAAGAAAGAAAGAAAGAAAGAAAGAAAGAAAGAAAGAAAGGCATTTTTTTCAGCTCCAGATTTGCTATGATATCTTCTGTCCATTAGGTGTCATTCATTCATTATATTGTACTTACCCTTAAAACACTTTAGCTGTAAAACAAAATGGTGAGACTCAGAAGCATTGTCTAGGAAAACTGCTTTGTGAGATACTAAAAGAATTTGCAGATACCCTTTCATTAGAAAACACTGTTTATTCTCCCAAGTATATTGGCATATTAACTGAGTAGCTTAAGCTTGAACTATTTTTATGCTTACTGTAATAAAGTACTGTTGCTAAAATAGAATTCATAGCATGTTGTTTTCTTACTGTTGAATATCATTATAATATTTCTGTTTTACTTAAATGTTTTGCAAGACTGCTGAAAAATCAGGTCAAATGGAAAGGTCGAAGAAGAATGCAAGGCAAAGGCAAAATGATTTCAAGGTAAATTAAATGCAGACATCCACACTGGAAATTTCGAATTTTGAATGCACATTGTGCTTTAACATTCAAAGACCTGTTGCATGCACTCAGTTACTCAGTCTGCTGCTACCTCAAGATAAATTGGATAAATGTTAAAGTTCAAAGCTTACAGCCCCTTGACACCCTGCTTCAATCACTGGTTTACTATCCAGTCAGCTGGAGCACTACATCAGGGCAGGAATTGGTAATTTTTTTTGAGATGTTACCATATGCCTAGAGTACATTTTCCCTGGTGACAGTTGTGCAATGGCCTTTATGTGACCTACTTATTGCATACTGAAAAAAATGAAGGAAAATGGGTAGGCTATGCAAGGGATTATATCCAGTGATGTTATTCTGATGCAGTTTCATCACTGGAAACAGGGGTTAAGGTGATCCTTGCATCTGCCTACGAGTTTTGAATTATTTTTTCACTTTTAAGTAATTTCTGTAAATTTAGTTTTTGCTTTCCTTAGCTTTGTCTGCCAAATATTTACCTGGTATAGCTGAATGGTATTGCAGTATTTGTTAGAATCTAAGTTTGGCACTGCCACATTTACATTTTCAGAGTTTCTTTCACCATTGGGAGTGCTTATTGAGGCTGATCAGTAATGTCAACCAAGTTCAAGTGTATAAATGCTTATTATTGGGGAATAAATATGCTATACGAGCTCTTAAGCAGGAATGGAATGGAGAACTGGGCTATCCCATTTTGCCTGATCAATGGATCACTGATTCAGCATGTGTATCTAAAACATCTTTGGATCACAGGTTGTATCTTGTTCCGTGCCTGTTGGATGCCATAGCATCTCTTTAGTAAGGGTTCATCTAAATGGGATAATTACTGGAGGTGTAACACAGCTAATGCTTTGTTAAAATGGTTTGTTCTGGTATTGCCCAATAGTTACCTGTTTTGCAGTGGAGGCCATTATACAGATAAATGTTGTGTTGTAACCCTCTTTAATACTTACTGATGTTCATGTCCTCTTAATTTATCCACCTATTTCCTGGAATTCACTGCAAATGAATTTTCTGCACCAATTTGGAAACTATTGATATGACAGCATTGGAAAAATAAATTCTCATTTCCTATAATGGAATGGTTTAAGAACCTAACAACACTTTCACAAGATTTCATATAGGAATATTTGATCTGCCTTGCATAAGAAAAGCCATGCTGTTGCCTTTATTGACATTTAAGTATAATTCTTAGAAAACTGCAATTTCTAATGTAGAAAATTCTATAACTAAGGTAGCACTCCAATATCTGAAGCAGATTGAAATTAATGAATTTAGATCTATGTGGATTTTTCTTTACTTCTTTGTTTTGTGTTGTTGAAATGTTATAGTACAATTTATTTTTTAAACTATGTAATTTACTAAAGGAGCACACTTAGTTTGATCCAATCCCATTTCAATATCCCATTTATGTACTGACAGTACCTCATTTGCTAGCATGTATAATCATAGTTCCAGGTTGTCTGTAGTCTCTGTATATTAAGTTGATACGGTCACTTTGATCATCAGCTGGTAGCCAAGTTTAATCATCAACTGGTACCCAAGAGCTGATGGCCGAAAAAGGCCACCAAATGAAAGTACCCCCTCCCCGTCTGCTACTTAGCATATCCACAAGTTAGCAATGATTCCTGCAGTTGAAAAGATAGCCTATGCTAGAGCTGTATGGGGCATTTTTGTCACTGATAACATTTTTTTAAAATCTACTCCAGTGTTAGAGTAGGCAGAATTAGCTGTTAAATGGAGTAATGGTCAGCTGCAGAGTAAGCCAGGTTATTAGATATGTTAAAAGAACAGTTCTGCAAATCTAAGAAAAAGCTGCTGATGGGGAAATGTCCAAGTTCTTTGAAGTACTAAATGACAATGAAAACAAACATAGAGAACTTTGGGATTTTAAAATCCACTTCCCAAGTATTGATAACCCTGTAAAGATTGTAAAGAACAAGGCTGTACACAGACTTAAACGAGTGGTTGCACATGCTTGCTACCGAGATCTGAATAAAAGGACACTTAAACTGTTCTATATTGTTATGAAAAGTAGATGCCTTTGACACATCTAGGGTGGATTGTGCTGAAACTGAACATTCAGGTCCTGATAAAGTTCTATTTTGTTCGGTCTGTGTGTCCATATATTTCCGCTTCTGTTTCTGTCCTATTTAAATTGATGATTTGAGTGGCATTACATATTTGCATTAGCCATATTAGAATCATAGGGGGAAAAGTGAGTCAGAAGGAGCTGCTCTATTTTATTCTTCCTGTGCCTATTTTGCCTACTTTGTGAGTATACCTTAATGAAAAGTCTTCAGAACACTTGATCGTGTTTGTTCCTAGTAGCACACCACGGGTTACAGTCAAGTTTCATTGTTCATCCATGAGCTGTTTCCTTTTGCTGTTGTAGACAATGATTCAGCAAGTGATGACATCCCTGGTCAAACTGATCCGTGGTGCTTTACTTCCATTCAGTCTTGGAGAAAATGAGCTGAAAGAATATGGTGGATGGGAGATGAAATCTGAACTTTCTAGTCAGTGGTTACCGCACGTCATACAGACAGTTAGGTAAACCAAGTGGTAGAGCAATGTAATGGTGATGTTCTGTGGGAAGCCTTTTTTAACTCTGTTCTCTGTTTTATTCTTGGAATCCTGTGTGAAACAATATTTAAGAACTGCAGTTAGCCAAGTGTCTGCTCAGTACCTCCTCTAGTTAGATGACGAACAGTGGAGGTATTTATAGAAATCAAGAGACGTGGTGAGCCGATCAAAACCGGGAAAATACATCAGTGACTCTAAGCAGCAGAAGGGGGACAATTTGCTTACAGCAGCTTTCTGCAACCTGATGCCCTGCAAATATTTTGAATGTGAGTTCCCATCAGCCCCAGCCAGCATAGCAGTAATCTGGTGTGCTTGGAATTACAGTCCAAAACATCTGGAGAGCACATGCTGCCCAGCTTTGGCAGTGTCAGGATTGGGTCTGCTTCTTCCATAATACAGTGTTCAGAGGTTGTTGACTTGGATTCTGATTCAGAACTGGAAGAAAAGGTGGGAGGATACCTGAAGGAGCATCTTTTCCCCTATGTGCCCTCCCACCCCTTGAAATCAGAGTCAGAGGCCCTCCTCCGGGAGTCATCCTTGAAAGAGATCAAGAGGGTTACTACCCAGAGGAAGGCCTTCTCTGTGGTGGTGCCCCAGTTGTGGAACACGCTCCCCAGAGAGGTTTGCCTGGTGCCAACGCTTCTATCCTTTCGGCATCAGGTGAAAACCTTTTTATTCTCCCAGTATTTTAACTGTCAATTTGTTTTAGTGGTGGGTTTATATTTTAACATTGGATGCTGGACAATTGTTTATTGTTGTTCTTATTTTTATTTTTTTGACTAATTGCTGTAAACCATTCTAAGACTTTTAAGTATGGGATGATATAAAAAAAGTTTCAAATAAATAAATAAATTTGCAGCTAAAATGCCAAGGCCTTTGGACACTCAGATAAGCTAGGAAGTCACTGAGAACCAGAGAGTTTCAAGTTCAGGGATATTCTGGTATTGGTGAGGGCAGACCTAACATCATTAGTCCAAGTATACAGGGTCAGGTTAAGAGGGTGGACCAGTTGAGAAATGTCAGGTGTTCCACCTGTAACATGATCTACCTTGAAGGTTAGAGCCAGCTCTTTTTGATCTGGAAGGAAGAAGAGGCACTATCCACTTTATATCATTAATCTATATTTCTCTAATTTACCATTATTCTACCTTTAACTGTGCTGTTTGTTATTAACTTCTTCAGTACTCTTCTTTTGTACCTCAAAGCTAGCCTTTTAGAAAGCTTTAGCGTAATAAAGTCTTTTAGAAAGCCTTTTGTCTGGCTGTGAACTGTGTATTCTCAAAGGTTCAGTGTTATCATTTCTTAAGTCCCTCTGGGCTAAGTAGTGACAAATTCATAGCAAGAAAAAACTGAGAATACTTCCAGAGTTTGGGGTTGGAATTGACATTGCTGTCTTAACCCAAGGTGGAGAAGTGAAAATACATAGGAGCTATCATAGAAAGTGGAAAGATGTGATTTAAAGTAGTTTTGTGTTGTTGTAGCTGTTGCTTGTGCTCTATTAGTAAAAAGGGTTGCCTAAGTAATTATGGCTTTGGACTTCACAATAGACTGTAGGCTGATCATCACTTTATTACCTCTGCTTTCCAGGCTTAGTTATGAATCTCTTACTGCACTTGAGATACCAAATGATATGCTTCAGATCATCCAAGATCTTATTTTTGATCTCAGAGTCCGTTGTATAATGATTACTTTACAGCATACAGCTGAAGGTAATATCTTTTTATTTTTAGCATTAGTGTGCTCAGTGCTTTCTTTTAACTGCTGATAACCTTTCCTCTAGCTTTAACTTAATATTTTCTGAATTTACATGCATCACTATTCTTGTTTGAGAACATTTAATTTAGTTTGTGTAGATGTGTGAAGTCCTTTTAAAACTAAACAATGAATTCAATTCAGCAGTTTCACTGTTATATGTACAATAGGTCACAAATGTGCTATATCTTAAAGTAATTATTTTGCATACAGTCTTTTTAAACATAGTATAGATTGTAGTCAGATGATTTGATGCATATAATGTATTGGTCTGCTTTGCTGTCAGCATGTTTGATCTATAAAAATATGCATTTTTAATGTGCTTGTACTCAAAAGAAGTGTCTGGTGTGGTTTCTCTCTCACTGCATTATTCTTTTTATGAGAGAGTATCAGTTTTGAAATCTTTCCCCTTTTGCAGATGTGAAAAGGTTAGCTGAAAAGGAAGACTGGATTGTGGATAATGAAGGCTTAACCTCTTTGGTGGGTATATTTTGCATTCTCCGCAATTTTCATAGAGGGCATTCCTATACCACCCACTGGAACATGCTGACCGGTTGTTTCAATTATTTAAGGGGAGGAGGTGTCCTGCCTTCCCACACCTCCTCTTCCTAGCAAGCCACAAATGGGGGAGAGTAGCTGCTCTTAAGAGCCCATCTGCAGTCATTCTTGGATGTAGATCTTTTCATTCATTTTAACTGCACTTTGCTTTCTTTGTAGGCAACCTGACTGTTCCCCATTCCACCTCACATATGTACACCTTTCCTAGGAAGTTATTTTTGCTCAAAATTCTGAGAGGTAGAAAAGGCAGGCAGGCTGGATGCCAGTTGCCAGACAGTTGCTTGCACTACTGCGTTCCATCCCACTGTGGGCCTTCCAGTGAAGTTCAAGGATGATCACAACTGTCAGGCAGCCTAGCTGGTTCTATACAAGATCATCAAAAGTTAGATCATTTCATTTGCTCATATAACATCACACTATTGCATTTTCCAGTTGTATATATGAATATAAAAACCCCAATATGGTATTCTAGGGGACTACAGGTGGTGCAGTGGTTTAAACCGCTGTGCTGCTGGGCTGGTCGCCGGTTCGAATCTGCACAATGGGGTGAGTTCCCGTTGCTCTGTCCCAGCTCCTGCCAACCTTGCAGTTCGAAAGCATGCAAATGCAAGTAGATAAAAAGGTACCACTTCGGTGGGCAGGTAACAGCATTCCGTGCACTTCGGTGTTTAGTCATGCCGGCCACATGACCATGGAGACTGTCTGCAGACAAACGCTGGCTCCCTCGGCTAGGAAACAGAGATGAGCACCGCCCCCTAGAGTCAGGCATGACTGGACTTAATGTCAAGGGGAAACCTTTACCTTATGGTATTCTACTGGACATTCCAACGGAATGTCTTCATATTTAAATAAAATAATTATTCAAAGTGCTTTTCACTACTTGTATCAACATGTGGTAGGAAGTTAAATATACAGGAAGTCACGGTTTGCTGCTTTTATATGTTACATCCTGTGTTCTTATTCCTTTCTTCTAGCCATCTCAGTTTGAACAACGGGTTATGCGTTCTGTGCAGTCACTTAAGAGTGTCTTAGATTGTAAACCTGGGGAGACCAGTGTAAGTAATATATCATTTTTGTTGCAGAAGATTCCAAGACTCTAGATAGTTTGATGGACATTGAAATCTCCACAATTTCTTATGAATTTAGAAGAGTAAATCTGATAGCTATGTATTCTCGGCATAAATGGAGGGAATAACATTGAACATCTGATACGTTGTATGATAAACAACATAAGTAAATATAATTGTTTCACTTTCCATTTGCTAATTAAAACTTGCATGATTTATAAATCATCCAAATAACTTCTTAAATAGCCATTTTTTAAAAATCCTGATTAATCATAGATTTCTGGCCTTGTTCAAATTCTAAGTCTAATGTTTAAAAAGGTTTTAATAACTGTTCTTTTAATTTAAAGGAACCTAACTACTGGTTCTCTAGAGGAGTTAAAGATTTGGAAGTATTTTATCATTCAAATTACCTGTAAGAAATATAGTATAATACAGTAGATAATTATTTCCATCCTATGATCCCAATAATTAACATGTAATCAGACCAAAGCAATGGATTTTGTCATTCAAAATATATTCTACATTCTGTATTGTAACATGAACATCTTTACAGATATAGATGATTCTGTTCTTACTCCAGTGTAGTCATTCTTTTCTGTTTTAAAAACATCCTAAACATGCATTTCTCAGATGGTAGAAGCTCCTTTTAAGAAATACTATTACATTCTTATGGTTGCAATAAGGACAGAACAGGGGGAATGCGTAATTCACACACATACTATGATATAAGAGCTCACATAGTAGATCTCCAGATGTTTTTGACTCCCAGGAGCCCTTGCCAGCATGGCAGTTAGTCAGAATATTGGGAGTTGAAGTCCAAAACATTTGGAGATCTATTTTCTGCCTACCCCTTAAAGCACAGGTTATGTGTGAATTGTACATCTACCATTTCTCTCTAAAGTAATGTACACACATGGAAAAGCAAGGGTGTATACAACATACACAAATTCACACTATTGACATGGATAAATTTGCTTTGGAATTTGGTTGAGACAATTAAATATCTTATGATATGGAACATTTTTGTATTTGTATTTAGTAGTGATGTTGGAAAAATCCACGATGGATTCAGGTGAGTTTGTAATTCTATGAATCCAGCCTGCAGACTCTACAGCTTTCTCTGAATCACATGGATTCTGCAGACTTTTAGACTGGCATTTTACTTTTTGGATAGATTTATACAACTGCACTATTGTACATTAGTGAAAATAGAATAAAATTCTTGTACATCCTTTTAAAAAAATATAATTCCATCAGTGAGTGGCCAGTGAAACAAAAAATGCCTGATAATCTAAGAAATTTAAACCAGCTAATTTAATGAAATTCATGCATCCCTAGTATTTAGCATTATATACTTTGGGTTGGCAGTAAAATGGCAGAACCAAATGTAGGATGAAACAGTTGCTTCTTCCTGTAAGACTTTCACTCACTTGTTGTAATTCTTTAGGTTTTTCAGCAACCAAAAATACAAGAAGATGTGTGCCAGCTGAGCATTAACATCATGCAGGTAATATAAACATAAGACTTCAGGCAAGCTTTTACGTTAATGTGCGTATATTCAATTACAAATGCTTGAGAAAGTATAATTTGTACAGAGCATTCATTTCACATTCTGTAAGAACTTAGTCTAATTGAATTAGGATGGAGCAAGGAAGGTGGGAGTAACTCAAAATGCCACCTCTCCCAAATAAGGCAAGCCCAGTTTTTGTCATGCAAATTTGCACTTGCCTTTGACTTAAATCACTGTTTGCATTGTGCTGCCTTTATATGCCAGTAGAAGTCTTTGGGCTTGAGTATAAGCCCTGGGTGCAAAGTCATGCAACTGAAGAAGGAAACCAAATTAGAGCAACCTGATTTATTGGGGGGAGGAGGGACAGAGGAAGTTCACACAGTAAGTGTCCAACAGTTTGCTAACACTGAGGAAAGTGGCACATAACTCTTATTTGTTCATTTGCAATGAACGATCAATATAAGTCTCACAATTGCCATCTGAAATTTGACAAAATTGAGGAAGGACCCTGATAGGGTTTACCTTCTAAGTAGACCTTCCTTGTAAGTCCTTGCAAAAGCCATTGAGCTTCTTGACTATTTTATTATAAAATCCAAACGCTATTTGAGGTTATTGGGGAGTACTAACCCATCCTTAAATTGAATTTAAAAAATCAGAAAACGTAGAGACCATTCAGGACAAATGAGCAACAGGCTTACACTTACACATTGGAAATAATTGGCAGGAGGATCACAAACAATTGCAACAATTTGTGGATTCTCGTAGAGTGTTTGCTATGCCAATGTATTCTCTTGACAAAATTCTACCAGCCTGTGCCCTGCTTCATTTTGTACTCCAAGGCCAAACTTGCCCATTATTCGGGTTATCTTTTGGTTTCCTACTTTAGCATTCCAATCCCCCATGATGAAGAGGACATCATTTGTGGGTGTTAATTCTAGAAGGTGTTGTAGGCCTTCATAGAACCGGTCAACTTCAGCCTCTTCAGCACCAGTGGTTGGGGCATAGACTTGGACTACTGTGATGTTGAATGGTTTGCCTTGGATTCGAACCGAGATCATTCTGTCATTTTGGAGATTGTATCCCAGTACTGCTTTTTCTACTCTTCTATTGACTATGAAGGCTACTCCATTTCTTCTGAGGGATTCTTTCCCACAGTAGTATACATGATGGTCATCTGAATTAAATTCACCCATTCCTGTCCATTTTAGTTTGCTGTTTTCCAAGATGTCAATGTTCAGTCATGTCATCTCATGTTTGACCACATCCAGCTTACCTTGATTCATAGATCTTAGATTCCAGGTTCCTATGCTGTAATGTTCTTTGCAACATCGGAATTTCCGTTCACCACCAGATACATCTGCAACTGAGTGTCCTTTAGGCTTTGACCCAGTTGCTTCATTCTTTCTGGCACTACTAGTACTTGTCCTCTGCTCTTCCCCAGTAGCACATTGGGCACCTTCCAACCTGAGAGGCTCATCTTCCGGCGTCATATCTCTTTGCCTGTTGATACTGTCCATGGGGTTTTCATGGCAAGGATACTGGAGTGGGTTGCCATTTCCTTCTCCAGTGGATCACGTTTTGTCAGAGCTCTCTGCTATGACCTATCCATCTTGGGTGGCCCTGCACAGCATAGCTCATAACTTCATTGCACTGCACAAGCCCCTTTGCCACCTCAAGGCAGTGATCCATGAAGGGGGTGTGCAGGCACTAGTCTGATCATCCATCTTAAGACACATGTGGGTGTGAAGGTACTTAGAGGGAGAAACCACATGGTAGAAGAAGCTGCTTAACTATCCCATAACACACTGGTTCTTCAGCTAAACGTAACTACCATCAACGATGCATCTGAGAGCCGGTATGGTGGTGTGGTTAAAAGTGCAGGACTGGGACTCAGGTGATCTGGGTTCTAGTCCCTGCTCATCCATGAATCCAGCTGGGTGATTTTGGGCCAGTCACAGATTCTCAGCCCAATCTACCTCACAGAGTGGTTGTTCTGAGGATAAGATTGAGAACAGGAAGAAGATGAGACAAGGCACTTTGAATTCTTCAAAAAAGAAAACATGTGAAATATAAATCTAATAAATACATCTGTTCTTCCTGTACCCACGTTTTCTTTAGAAAGAAAAGATGGAGTTGGGAAAGAAGTGTTTCTGTTCAACATAAATTTTCTGACGTCAGCAACAAACCAAGCCAAAGCATGAAGAATCAGGGCATTGTTACAGACATACATACACTAAGCATAAAGCATCAGTTCCCTGTCACAGATGATAATCTCCTTTGCTATTAATGTTGCTTCCGTTCATATGGCGAATTGGCTACACTTTAAAACTAAAAATTAAATAGTATTCAATTTGGCATCTTGTGTTGGGTAAGAGAATTAACTGATTACATTCGCTTAAAATCTAGGTTACCCAAATGAAGTGGAAAATATGCAAAGGAAAATGTGGCGTATAAGAACACCATTATGTAATGATATTACTTGTAGTTAAATAATGAGGTTAGATCAGAGTTTTTCTTTTTTGCACAGGTATTCATTAATTGCCTGGAACAATTGAGTACAAAGCCTGACAGTGATGTAGATACTACACAGTAAGTAGAATAATTTGGTGGTAAAGTTTTGGCTTTTTCCAGAGTTTTGTAGATTACTTGTTGGATTAATGGTTGATGTTTATGGAAACACAAAGATACTGTTCCTACCTGAGCACACTGAAGAAATCATCTACAGCTGAGTTCTCCAATATGATACCCATGGGTACTCATGGACACCCAGATACCTTTTGTGGATTTTCTTAGGCTTCCTGCCTCCCCAATCTCTCTCTCTCTGTCTGTCTTACAGAATTCCTACCACTACCTTGTACTTAGGCTCTTTTGGTCAAGTTACTTTTCTTTTAATCTCACCAATTTATTATTATTATTATTATTATTATTATTATTATTATTATTATTATTATTATTACATTTCTATGCCGCCCCTTGCCGAAACCTCGGGGCGGCTTACAACACAATAAAATACATTGAAATACAATAGAACATAATAAAATTACCATTAAATACAAAAATACAAAAATTTCTCAGACTTCTCGGAAGTATGTGTTTTCTGACCTGCCACACCCACCTTGGCAGCCATATTATGAATGGGTAAACCTTACTCATGATAGCCAGTTTGTGAGTGTGCCCACAACACTTCCAAAATTAAATATGTGCCATCCCAGCCAAAAATTTTGAAAATCCTTGCTCCTGCAGCCCAATGCCCTGTTCATTCTGTCATCCTTTGACTGCTTGTCTGAACAGCAGCACTGAAGAATGTTTGTTCAGCAATACTTTTAGCTTATTTTAACTTGTTCTTAAGTATTTGCTTCAGGTATTTGCTTACTAGCTAGATAAAACAAGTATGATGAACAAGCATTCCACCACCCCCCACCCCACTCTCTTCTTCATTAGTTTCCTCACCCTCTACATTTGCCTGAACAGGCTCATCTATAGTTCTGATTCTAATTTTGTAGCTAGTTCTATTTTTTCAAGATTTTGTTTTCAGTTTCCATACAAAAGAGCTTGAAATGAAAACTATCAGCCACTAACTGCAGGGGTCTTGTCAGTATCAAAATCTGTACACACTGTCAAAGGGCAGATCTGTACAATAGCTAACTAGTTTAATAACCCCTCTGTGAGGACCAGGACATAGGTAACTGACAGGGTGACCAGGCACTGATTTGATGCTGGGCTCTATAGCTTAGTAGGGCTAGAGGATGGCAGTATGGTCAATGGTCTGGGGTCAGAAATGAGGCCAGTGGGCAGTCTGATACAGTACAAGAGAGAGAGCACAGTCCAGAAAGAGTCCGGTGGTTGAACGCCAGGGAAGCAGTCACATCAAGGTGCAGAAGGAGGACTACAGGAGCAGGCTGGAGCATGGCAAGGACAAACCAGAGCAAGCAGGAACACAGAGAGGCAGGGCAGGAGGAGGCTGGAGCATGCAGGTTCAAACAGGAACAAGGCAGAAGCAATCTGGAACAAGCGGTGACAAACACGAGCGAGGGTGAAGGCGTGGTGATGCAAAGGGCCAGAGTACAAGAGAGTCACAGAGATAACTTGCATTGCTGTGGCAAAGAGAAGCAGTGCAGAGAGGTCTTTTATGTTGGTTTCCATGGCCACAGCTGCACCACATGATTGCTTCTTAGCTGTTTTCTGCAAGCACCTGCAAAGGTGTTCCTGATCCTACAGATGCTAGTCTAGTCCTGACACCCTCTCCTGGGAATTGTAGCTTTGTGATGAAAAGTGGGGATCCTCAGAGATCATTTTCAGCAACTGTGCCAAACTTGAGTTCCTAGGTTCTACTTCTTTGTGGTCTACTTCAGTCCACAGGAGTCTGCCATATGCATTCTTCAGAAATAGAGCAAAGCAAACATACCTAGCAGTCAGGGAGCAACTGTGTGGGACATTGAAAGCCATGCCCTTTGCATGTGTGCCTAAAGGGCTAACTTTTCCCTGACTGGAGATGGTTCTGAACCCTTGGCTTTGCTTGGACCCATAATTATAACCATGCAAAGAACCTCAAGCATGCAGTGTGTTTTTCTGCAGGGAAGCTGTATTTGTTAAACTGGCATATACCCAAATTAAATTAAATATTCTAAATGTTTAGAGCAAGCCATCAGTGCTTAATCAATAACTTCGTCTTAGTCTTTCAGTTGATGTTTCATCGTCAGACTTATTTGGAAGCATTTATAAAGATTCCAGTTTGTCTTTGGTGAGTATGGTTAACCTTTATTCAAATAATTATTAAAGGAAATGAACTGAGTACTCTGATGCATACCTGTTCGAAAGTTATTCTCATTATATTATGTAATAACATTATTCTTTAAAATGTTTAGGTAATGCATGTTCTGTTCATCCCCTCCATGACATGATCTTAATTAGTAAACAAAGTCTGCTAATTGTTTTAAACAATAGTAATTGCTCTGCTTTACCTGTGCATAATTCTTGTACCAATAATGCATTTTTATTCTGTTAAAATCTTCCTTGATTTAGGAACGGAGGCTTTTAATTGTGCTTAGTAACTGCTGCTATCTGGAACGTCACACCTTCCTAAACCTTGCTGAACACTTTGAAAAACATGGTTTCCAAGGAGTTGAAAAAATCACTCAAGTAAGCATTTGCTGTAAATTAGGTCTGATGTTTTCATTGTTGTTGTTGTTAGTCGTGAAGTCGTGTCCAACCCATCACGACCCCATGGACAACATTCCTCCAGGCCTTCCTGTCCTCCACCATCCGCCGGAGTTCACTTAAGCTCACACCAACTGCTTCAGTGACTCCATCTAGCCACCTCATCCTCTGCTGTCCCCTTCTTCTTTTGCCATCTGTTGTTCCCAGCATTAGACTCTTCTCCAGGGAGTCCTTCCTTCTCATTAGGTGGCCAAAGTATTTGAGTTTCATCTTCAGGATCTGGCCTTCTAAAGAGCAGTCAGGGTTGATCTCCTCTAGGGCTGACCGGTTTGATCACCTTGCGGTCCAAGGGACTCGCAGGAGTCTCCTCCAGCACCACAATTCAAAGGCCCTCAATCCTTTTGTACTCAGCCTTCCTTATGGTCCAGCTTTCTTCACAGCCATACATTGCAACTGGGAAAACCATAGCCTTGACTATATGCACTTTTGTTGGCAGGGTGATGTCTCTACTTTTTAGTATGTTGTCAAGATTTGCCATAGCTTTCCTCCCCAGGAGCAAGCATCTTTTAATTTCTTGGCTGCAGTCCCCGTCTGCGGTGATCTTGGAGCCCAGGAAAATAAAATTTGTCACTACCTCCATTTCTTCCCCATCTATTTGCCAGGAAATGAGAGAACCGGATGCCCTGATCTTAGTTTTCTTAATGTTGAGTTTCAAGCCAACTTTTGCACTCTCCTCCTTCACATGCATCAAGAGGCTCTTTAGTTCCTCTTCACTTTCTGCCATGAGAGTGGTATCATCTGCATATCTGAGGTTGTTGCTATTTCTCCCAGCAATCTTAATTCCTACTGGTGATTCATCTAGGCCCACCGTTCCCATGATGTGCTCTGTATATAAGTTAAATAGGCAGGGCAACGGTATGCAGCCTTGCCGAACTCCTTTCTCAATTTTGAACCAGTCAGTGGTTTCGTGTCCAGTTCTCACTGTTGCTTCTTGACCTGCATACAGGTTTCTCAAGAGACAAAAAGATGGTCAGGTACTCCCATCTCTTTATGAACTTGCTACAATTTGTTGTGATCCACATAATCAAAGGCTTTAGCATAGTCAGTGAAGCAGAAGTAGATGTTTTTCTGGAACTCCCTAGCTTTGTCCATGATCCAGTGTATGTTGGCAATTTGATCTCTAGTTCCTCTCCCTCTTTGAAATCCTGCCTGTACTTCTGGTAGTTCTCGGTCCACATACCGCTGGAGCCTAGCTTGTAGGATTTTGAGCATAACTTTGCTAGCATGCAAAACATGTGAAATGAGTGCAATGGTGGATGTTTTCATAAGTTTCCATTATTAAGATTAGGACAACTGAATAGAACTTCGAGCTGCAGTAAAAACATTTATCCTAATCATTCCGAGCATTGTCTGCACATTCCACCAATATACTTGTATATTTTCCAAGTTTTGTAGACTACTGAAAACTGATCATATTTTCCATGGTGATACTAACTAGTATAACAAAAGGGGAGGAATCCAGTTGGGTTTTATGCCCTGCCATTTTCCTTCTGCTTCAGCTTCCCTTCTGCAAGCAGTGGGTCCCACAAATCTTGTTATGCAGGTGGGACCTACTACTTATGCAAAGGAAATTTAGCACTTTCTAGAAGGCCAGATGTGAAAAGAATAACTCATTTCAGGAAGGAGATCAGTCAGCAGAGCTCAATTATATGAGTTTTGCTGACTTGACTCCTTCCAGAAGGGTAGACGCCAAAGGGCGGTCGCCGCAGTTTGGGGGCCGTGCGGGGGCTGAGCTGGCCAGGAATTTTGTTGTTGGCCGGCGGGTGGGATTGCTAAATTGGGTCGGGGGGTTGTGGGGGTGTTTTTAAGTCTTTTTAATGTGTTTTCAGTTTATTTTAATGGAGTCATCTTCAGCTTCGAATATGGGGTTGCCTGGGGAGTGTGTGGGCGCCACCATTGGGGTTGTCACGGGCAATGAATGTTATGGCATTGGGGGTCTAACGTGTCTGCGTAGAACAGGGGTGGGCAATTAATTTTCCTATAGGGCCACATGAGAAACTTTGACAATTGTTAAGGGCCGGACCAATTCACTTACAGCTCTGCTCAATATATATCTCTATAAAAACAGTAAATGAAACATTACAATGAGACAATGAAAATGTGGAGCACAGAACAACACTATTTAGTGAATATTCACAAAAACTTTAACATTAACATTACATGAAAAGCAATAAATTCAATTCAATTTAGCAGATCCTTCAAAATAAAAGCAGTGCAGTTGTATTGCTTGCATCTATATTACAACAATATATATTTGCATTGACTTTTAATTTGCCAGTGACCTCATGCAGGCCAGTCAGGGTCAGCCATTGGGCCGGATGTGGCCCACGGGCTGTACAGTGCCCAGGTCTGATGTAGAAGAAGGTGGGACAGATGGTTAACACCTGTTCCTCTTTCTGGTTATTCCCCCAGCCTGAGGGTTCCAGGTAGGCTTGTCAACCGCCCCCTAGGCCTGTCAGTGCTGTTGCTTAATGCCAGGTCGGTCCATAATAAAACATCCCTTATCCATGACCTGATTGTGGATGAGGAGGCCGACTTGGCTTGCATTACAGAGACCTGTGGGGGGGGGGGATGTCTTCCTCTCTCAACTGTGCCCGCCCGGGTATCTGATCCAGCACCGACCACGCCTGGAGGGGAGGGGAAAGGGGTTACTCTGGTTTACCAAGCCTCTATTTCCCTCATGGGGCTTCCTGTCCTCTCGAGGCCGGGTCTGGAGTACCTCAACTTGGTGTTGGGCGACCGAGACAGACTGGAGATTCTGCTGGTATACTGTGCACCCTTCTGCCCAACAGACTCCCTGCCTGAGCTGACAGAGATCGTCTCGGATTTGGTGTTGAAGACTCCCAGGATGTTGGTCCTGAGGGATTTCAATCTCCACGCCGAGACGGATGGTTCTGACCGGGGCGGCTCAGGACTTCATGGCCTCCATGATGGCCATGGGGCTGTCTCAACATGTCATTGGCCCGACCCATGAACATGGACACACTCTGGACCTGGTTTTCTCGACGGGGCAGGAAGAGGGGGATCTGAGGGTGAGGAACTTGTGTCTGACACCCTTATCATGGTCAGATCACTTCCTCATGAGGTTTGAGCTCGAGAGCAGCCTTTCCTTCTGTAAGGGTGTGGACCCAATTGTGTTGGTCCACCCCCAGAGCCGGATGGATCTGGATGGATTCCTGAAGGCCCTGGGGGATTTCCCGGTTGATAAGGCTGGTGCTTCTGTCGATGCCTTGGTTGAACTATGGAATGGGGAAATGACCAGGGCTATTGACACAGTCGCTCCTAAGTGTCCTCTCCCACCTGGCAGAGCCCGTTCATTCCCCTGGTATACACCTGAACTACGGGTGATGAAGCGGGTTGGGAGACGTCTAGAGCATAGGTGGAGGAAATCACGGGATGAATCTGACCGAACACACTTAAGGGCCTATGCTGTGGCGGTGAGGGCAGCGAAGAAGAAATTCTTCTCCGCTTCCATTGCCTCCTCACAATGCCGTCCGCCGGAGCTCTTTTGGATGGTACAGGGGCTGGTTCACCCGGGTCCCAAGAAAGATCTTGTGCCACCCTTGACAGCCCGCTGTGATGACTTCGCCAAGCATTTTAAGGAGAAAATCGCTCAGATTGGTCATGAGCTGGACTCTACTAGTGAATCAGAACCTTCTGGGGAGGTGCCAATGTTGCCATCTGGTCCAAAATTGATGGATGCGTTTCATGGCCTGATGATGTGGACCAGGTGCTTGGACAAGTATGTTCCAGCACCTGCTTACTGGACCCTTGCCCATCTTGACTACTTAAGAAAGCCAAGGATGGGATAGGGACCTGGATCCTGGAGGTTGCCAATGCCTCTCTAAGGGACGGCCGGGTACCTGCCCCTTTAAAGGAGGCGGTAGTCCAGCCAGTCCTAAAGAAGGCATCCCTGGATCCAGAGATGGTGACCAATTATAGACCAGTGGCCAACATCCCGTTCCTAGGCAAGGTGTTAGAGCGGGTGGTGGCAGGACAATTCCAAGCACTCTTGGATGAAACTGATTATCTGGACTCATTTCAGTCCAGCTTCAGACCTGGGTATGGTACTGAATCTGCCTTGGTCTCCCTGTATGATGACCTGTGCAGGGAGAGAGACAGGGGGAGTGTGTCCCTGTTGGTTCTCCTGGACCTCTCAGCTGCTTTTGATACCATTGACCATGGTATCCTTCTGGATAGGCTAGTAGGATTTGGGAGTAGGAGGCACTGCTTTGCAGTGGTTCCACTCCTATCTCAATGGCCGATTCCAAAAGGTGGTGCTGGGGGACTATGGCTCTGCGCCATGGCAGTTATGCCATGGAGTTCTGCAGGGGTTCATTTTGTCCCCCTTGCTATTCAGCATCTACATGAAACCGCTGGGAGAGGTCATTAGGAGGTGTGGGCTGTGGAATCATCAGTACACTGATGATACCCAGCTCTACCTCTCGTTTTCCACCAATCCAGGTGAGGCAGTGGCTGTGCTGAACCGGTGCCTGGCTGGGGTAATGGGCTGGATGAGGGCCAATAAACTGAAGCTCAATCCAGACAAGACAGAGGTCCTCTTGGTGGGTGGTTCGGGCTTCAGGGTGGGGGACCTGGACCTTGTCCTGAATGGGGTTGCACTCCCTCTTAGGGACAGGGTTCACAGCTTGGAAGTGCTCCTCGACCCAGAGCTGTCATTAGAAGCTCAGGTGACGGCAGTGGCAAGGAGCGCTTTCCTTCAGCTTCGGCTGATCCATCAGCTGTGTCCCTACCTCGAGAACGATTGCCTGGCAACAGTGACACATGCATTGGTAACTCCCTGATTAGACTTCTGTAAGGCACTCTACGTGGGGATGCCCTTGAAGACGGTCCGGATACTTCAATTGGTGCAAAACAGAGCTGCCAGGTTGCTGACGGGGACTGGGCGTTATTCTCATATAACCCCAGTCCTCTGTCAGCTTCACTGGCTTCCCATTGAAGTCCGGGCCCAATTTAAGCTGTTGGTTATCACCTATAAAGCCCTCAACGGCTTGGGACCTGGTTATATAAAGGAGTGCTTGCATCCATATATGCCCTCCCACTCTCTGAGATCTGTGGCAGAGGCCCTCCTCCGGGAACCCTCCGTGAAAGATATTAGGAGGGTGAGTACCCAGAGGAGGGCCTTCTCTGTGGTGGTGCCCCACCTATGGAATGTGCTCCCCAGAGAGGTCCGCCTGGCGCCGTCATTATTTATTTTTCGGCGCCAGGCCAAGACCTTTTTATTTAAAAGTTATTTTATTGTTAATTTGACTATTTATTGGGTTTTATATTGTGCCAAGATGTCTCCAAATTTTTTAAGGTTAATTGTGTGTATTGTGTCTGTTTTGTAAGCCAACCTGAGGCTCTTTGCGAAAGAGGCGGCATAGAAATGTTTTAAATAAATAAATACTAAATAAATAAAAAATGTAATATGACCCTAATACATCTAGCCCATGAATAGTCAATCCTGTTTACTTTCCCTTTTTTCCTGTATTTGTTGCCTTTGGTTGTAACAGTCACCTTTAGTCTGCTTGTGCTAGGAATATCTTAGAATTACTGTCTTTGATGTACATTGTGAGCTCCCCTGCGAGAAGAATTGTTGGCTGACCATAATTCCTAGATCGGGCACTGAGAATCTTGACAAATTTCTGCAAGTGAGATACAGGAACTGTGTCTTACCAGGCAGGCTCTTGGCCCAAATAAATGATTCAGGCAGGTTCAGGTGTAAAGCATTTTTAGTATGCAAAGATGCTAAAAATTTAGTGTTCCAAAAGGGAGCCTACTGGACTCCTTTCTCCCTCCTCCAGTAAAGCCATGTAAATTATTTTATAAGATTTCATATCCATTTAACTGCAGCTTACTTTGTTTTTCAAATCTAGAGAAACTATGGTTAATCTTAACTCTGGTTAGTGGAAACAAGCCAAATTCAAACTACGATTCATGCAACTGGCTCTTTTCACTAATCTTAGTTAAGTTAACAACAATTTATGGTTCAGCTGGCACATTAAACTAAAAAAATAAAATTGAAGCTGAAGTTTCATGCTCTCACCACCATGCCACAAAAAAGAGGAGGATGTAAATGAGAAAATAGACTCATTTTTCAATGCTAAAGCCATGATATATCATTATGTTTGAAAGCAGTCCAGTATGCCATCAGTCTTAACTTTTTAGATTCTTCCAGTTTCCTGTGAAGCTTCATGGTTTTGTGGTCTTTGGGGGAATTTTTTTTTCCTCCAAAATGTTTGTTGTTGTTACATGCCATCAAGTCATCTCCAACTTATGGTGGCCTTCCAGAATGTCCTGTCCTTGACGGTTCTGCTCAGCTTTTATAAATTTAAGTCTGTGGCTTTCCTTATGGGGTCAATTCATCTTATATTCAATTTTCCCTAGCATGATTATCTTCTCCAGGGAGTTTTAGCTTCTCATGATATGCCAGAAGTATGATAGCCTTGTATTTTCATGTTTGTTTCTAGGGAAAAGTTCTGGCCTTGATTTGAACTATAACTATAACTTCTTCATCTTTCTGTTAGTCCAGGGTGTTTGCAAAGCTCTGTTCAGCACCATGTTTCAAACACATCAGTTCTTTTCCTGTCAGCCTCAAAATGGGCACAATTTTAAATTCTGAGGACATTAAACATCTGACATGTTTGCTAGATTAGAAGAGTTGGTACACATTATGGTTATTAATAACCATCAAGTGTGTTTATTTTTGTTTTAGGTTAGCATGGACTCATTAAAAGAACTTGATCAACGATTGTTTGAAATGTACATTGAACTAAAGGCTGACCCTGTAGTAGGCTCATTGGAGCCTGGCATTTATGCAGGTTATTTTGACTGGAAAGACTGTCTTACTCCAACAGGTATGTATTTTAGACTCTTGAGTTCTTTCATGGATGCAAATAAGGCTTGAATTAAAGAATTTGCACCACTATACTCTTACTTCCTTTCTGTTTCCTCTCTCCCACACCATTTATCAATTTTTTGTTTACATATTCATCCTTCAGTGATTTTTACTGCATAATATCCAAATCTCTTTTCAGATAACTTAAATAATTACAGCCCTTTCTGTCAGTACTAATCTCCTTCAAGAGATGTTTTTGTTATGATTGCATTCATTCTCATAAATTTCTGAATAGTTATAGAAGACAACTTTGCTGCTTTACAAATCCTAAATTATGTTAAATCTGGTCACTTGTGTATTTTGTAAGGAAATACATAGGAATAGCACTGTTACAGTCGTTTAACCTGACTACCTCTCCCAGATCCTCCAAAGAGACTGGCATAAGTGTATTTATACATGAAATATGCAATGATTATTATTAAAAGATGGTTATTATTCATTGAAGCATATGATTAGTAAGAACGTTATCTGTGCTTATCAAAGATAGAGTTAGGTTTCATATATAATATGAGCATTCACAGGAAATTACAAGATTTTAAAGTTTGTTAATACATTGCTCTCTGTTGCATTGAGCAGGCGATTGGATCTCTTGGTTTTATTGGCCCTTTCAACTCTGCCTTTCCATGATTCTTTGATGCCACATTTGCCCAGTCTAGGAATGTAAGAAGCATGCCTGAACTTCCCATGGCTGCCACTTTGTGGCAGCAGGGAGCAGGAGAATGCAGGGCAGAAATATTATGGTACACTAGCATCCTATATCATTGGCATAATCCTTGCATAAAGTTTCTGCTTGTGGTAGTCACTGTATGTAGTGCAGTTGAGACAGGGTTACAGTGCCTGTTGAATGTTACTGCACGGTAGTTCTGGTCCCCACCATCACCAACCCCAGAAAGGTGGCTCATGCCATTCTTACTTTGTGTGATTTTTTTGGACTTTAATCCTGTGAACACTCAAGTCCCACTGAATAAAGTGAGGGTGGCTTCCAAATAAACATGCCTAGGATTGGGCTGCTCGTTTGACTTTGTTTTCTGGAGAATCTAATAAATGTTTGTGTCCCTGGTCAAAGTGTGTTGACTTTCGCAAACACATGTTAACTAGGCAACACGATTACCTACTACCTTTTTTGTGTCCTATTCCCTTGCACACCGCCCCCAAACTTGCACATAAAAGATCAGGGGACAACCAGTGGAGTGGCATCTGACATGGTGCAGGGTACTATTATTAAGAAGTTAAAAAGTAGCAAAGCCTGTTTATATGCACAGAAGTACTTCATGCATGCATGCATACTTATGTATCAGACATGATCAGTGTAACATAGAATGACCTGTACAGTGCTGAAGTCAGGTCTGTAAGGATAGGCACCATTTGCTTACACTTGATGGCTTGTAGTTCAGTGTGTGAAATCACCCATGATATGAGGTTTCTGTCTGTGGCAGGGAACCGCAGTGCTGCAGCCCTCAAGTGAGAAACAGCCGTGTGTGTGAACTAGCTCTAAGAGATTTGAGTTATCAGCTCATCATTTAGGATCATTCATGTACAGTTGACACCATGGTACATCTGTATTACCTTTTCACAGTATAACTGCACTCTTTGGTCTTGGCTAGACTAGTATGCAGTTAATCTACAAGAAACTGTTGGGTAGATGACATGCTTTTAGGCAGAAGTTCAGACTAAATAGGGATCACAAACTTTTGTGATCCCAGAGAGCCAGTCAGTGGGCTGAGAGATGTACCTGGGCCAGAAAACTGCCTAGGCACACTGGGGTCTCTGAGAAGAACAGAATAGTGTCCTGAAAGGTTCCACTACCATTTTATGCCCTTCGAAACAGGGATGTCTTATTGCAATACTGATCTCCTGCTTTTCCAAAGGAGTGGCATCATCCCACTACTTGTATATTGGGCTTAAAGAAGTGCAAAACTCCCTGAGGTTCCTTGCATTACATTTACATTGGAAAAAGACAGCCCTATGGTGCAGATACCAAAACTTTGAGAAATACTAGTGGCACATCGTTTGTCTCAAGGTTTATCTCATATTCCATTTGTCTTGCACAGAAAGGGCGATGGCTTCAGTGGTCAAGGGAAGGAAGCATTCAAGTATGTATCATGTCTACCGTGCTGGGGACTAGATGCTAATGCCACCATCACTAGCATCATGATTCCATGTTAGAGGTTGCATGTTCTGTGCATAGCATAAAATGACATGGCCCTCTATTCAAATAGAATATTCATGTTCAAACAGAAATATTTCTTATCTAGATGACCTCTTAAAGAAACTAGGTTCAATTTGTTTGTTTATTGAAATAATACATTGATAGGGTCTCTGAACTACATTTTGATACCATCTTTCGATATGCCAGGCCATTGTATTAAATAGCTCTTTAGCCTTCAAAGATCTACCTGATCTCTAAAATAAACTTAGAATCCAATAAAATGTGTCAACAGGAGAAAGAGAAAATGTTTCTTTCCTTACATATTTTGATGCTTACGGTCATTGAACAGTTCTTCTATTCATCATAAGAACTACTGATTTTCCTCACTGTTCTAGATATTTGTGGGGGTTGTTTTCCTTTTCATGTTTACAGAAATTTTCTGTAGTTTTGCTTTTGCTGTAAAGTGCTATGTTACTGAAAGGCACAAATATTGTAAACTGAGTGTGAATATTAATTAGCCAAGGATAAATTCAAGGGGTGTTTTCAGGTGGTTTCATTGCAAGAGCAAAAGGCTAACCATTTCATGCATCCAATTTCAGCTATGAGAACTCTGGCCACAATTAATGCAGTTGTTCTTTGCAAAATTCCCTCAGTTTTGCACCCACCCCTCTCCATATGTATAAGAAGTATTGAAACCCATGTACAAAACTGTTGCGACAGTGTACTAGTTTGAGAAAGCAAATGGGGAGCAAAATAATAGGGATGAAATAGCCATAAAAATGGGGGTGAACTTTGTACACTTGAGCAGAAATCTGTGAGAGAGAGCTTACTAATATTTTGAGTAATAAGGGAGTCATCTGTGAAGAGTTTTCTTTATGCGTTATCATGTATAAATGCCTAAAATTCACTAAGTCCTGTGCATAGACTAAAAACATGACCACTTCTGTCAGAAAAAAGAGATAAAGAGAGAAGAGAAAATAAACAAACTCAAGCCCCAGTACTTATAATTGTATAGACAAAGTACACTCTCCTGCCCCACGACTCCCCTGCTGTAGTCAAGCAAAAGGGCTACTAACAGGTAACAGCTAAGGGACATGAAGAGCCGGGTCACAGCTGGTCAATTACCTTGGCAGATTTACCCAGCTAATCCAATAACGGACACCACACCAAAAAGGAAGAATCTGGTTTTGCTTCACCTTTGAAGGTGATATATGGACTTTTCCTTGATGGCGTTTGTCCCAGATTCTGCTTTGCTGTAGTGCACACACTGGTGTGGACTTCCAGAGGCATATTTAGCTCTAGATGTTTCAAAGAGATTAATAATGAGGTCCTTGTATAAGATGTGTTCTTGATCTGACAAGCAAGATATCTAGAAGTCCTGGTGTGAGAGCGGGGGAGCCTGGTTTGTCCCAGTGCTACAACAGAGTACCCTGAACTTTTCATCCTGTTCCATCTGGTATTTGAATTGGATGTATAGACCTTTCAGTAGTGTCCAAGGCTACCAGGTCATATCCTTAAAGCTGGGCCTTGAACCTTTCAACTGCTGATTTTTAGGGAGATGTAGGTCAGTGAGTGTTTTCAGGTCTGCCTCCCTGCAACTCATCAGTGCTTCAGAGAAATTGCATTTGGAATTGGTGTCTTTTTTAATTAACTAGGAGTGATTAATGTGTTTAAAACGGAAAGTATATTTAAATCCCTGTTGTACCTAATTCAAAGAGCTGTGCATGGAGTGGGGAGGAGACAAGTACAATCTAGCCTGTGGAACAAGATGACTTAAGTGAAATGGGAAACAAAGAAAATCCATCTATATCTTTTAGCATATCTTTGACACTTTTTAGATTTACCATTTTTACTCATTTTGCCCTCCTAACAGCTGTTTAAGTTGTCACTATAATTTTCATTTTAAAGGTTAAGAACAACACGAGAGGTAGTGGCTTTCCCAAGTTCTCATACCTTTGGTGCCATATACTCACAAAGAAGAAATACCATAGAGAGATGAATAGGTTGGGGGATTACACACTATCTGCAGTGAAGGCAATTCTTGATTGAGCTTGGCTGTTTTGCTCAGGATCAGTAGGGTGATGCCACTCCCTCTGGTGGCCTGATAAGGAAGGGGCCTGGTCTTTGCAAATACAGGATTGGCATCAGATCTGTAGATCCTTGCAAGATTGGGATCAGTGCATTCATACAGATCAACTGAAGCTACAGGAAGCTCTCTAAAAGGCTTCTCAGACCTGCACAGCTTTGTCACAGCAATATAAGTCTTTGCTGGTGGCCACTTCGTGTCCATAATCTGGCTTATGTGTCCAGTTTTGCAGTGTCTTTCTAGACTCTGCCTGCACCTCTAGGCCTGCTACACCTTTGGTGATCTGACCTCTGCCTGTTGCTTCTTCTGCCTTTTGACTGTGGTTCTGCTATACCTTGCCAGATACCATTTGATCCTGATTCTGTCTTCATATTTGGTTCTGCTGCACCTAGATAGTATCTGGCTTTTGCTAGTTTCTGGCCCTGCCTTTCCCTCTAGCCCTGCCATGTCTTGCCAAGTTCTCCATCACCCCTGGTCTTGATGTTCCAGTTCAGGACTCCTGCTTCCTACATTCTGGAGCTGAGAGCACTGCTTTGCCACCAAATATGGGTTCTGATAGCTTGTGGCTACATGGAGCAGTAGTGAAACAGGAACAGTACATGTGCAAGACAGCTTAGCTTTAGTATGCTGATGGAGGTATCCAGCTCAGCACCTATGGAAGGGGGTGGGCACACTACACTACACAGTGCCATAGCACATCTGTAAGAGACTTTACAAAATCTGA